TTGTGCATCAAGGGGCTTGCTAGCGGCTGATCTAATTAACTTTGACCTTTGGTGGAATGGACCATTGTGGCTGCACGATACGAAAGAATACATGGTAAAGTTACGAAACGCACAAGTCTGTTCTTCTTTTTCAGATATACAAGCAAACGACGAATTGAAAACAACAGTTTTGGTCACCATGTCTACTACTACTCTCACCACTCGATGAGCTTGCAGGACGGGTGTCCTCATGGCAGAAGCTGGTTCACATTGTTGCATACGTTATGCGCTTCATCCGTCGCTCCAAATCAAGACCTCTTTCCTTTGAGGAAGTTCAAGCAGCACGTATTTTATGCTTACGGCCCGCGCAAAAATGCTTTGACGATGATCGTCAACACATACTGGAAAAACAACCACTTCGGAACCAGTCAAAGCTACGAAAACTATCACCAATAATTTGCAAGGATGGTCTCCTACGAGTTGGCGGACGATTGGACAATTCACAACTGCCGATGGATTCCAAACATCCAATCTTGCTACCAAAATCACATCGCATCACACTACTAATTCTTCAACATGAGCATTGGGTAAATTTACATCCGGGTGTTTCTGCACTATTTGTCATCGCTCGGCAAAAATACTGGATTCTTGGCGCACGCAATCTTATTCGTAAGATCACACACGACTGTTTGCCATGTTTTCGCCAACGTCAACCCACTACGCAGCAATACATGGCCGATCTACCAGCTGTTCGAATCACGCAAGCACTTCCATTCGAAAACACAGGCTGTGACTACGCTGGTCCCATTATTCTTAAAGAGCATCGCGGACGCAATACACGTATGAGGAAGGGTTACATATGTCTATTTGTATGCCTTGTTACATCCGCGCTTCATCTGGGACTCGTCACAGATTTAGGCACTGACACATTCATAGCAGCGCTACGCCGCTTCATATCGCTACGAGGAAAGTGTGGCCAAATCTATAGCGACAACGGTAGGAACTTTGTTGGTGCAAAAACCACACTGGATGAGATGCAACAATTACTGGCATCAGAAGAACACAAAAATAAGGTCTCGCGCACATTGGCAGACGAAGGCATCAACTGGAATTTCATTCCGACACATGCACAACACTGGGGTGGTAAATGGGAGTCCGCAGTACGCTCAGTGAAACTCCACCTACGAAGAATTATTGGAAAAGCTGTTCTCACCTTTGAACAGAGGCATACACTGTTGGCACAGATCAGTGCAGTGGTTAATTCGCGACCACTATGCTGCACACCCGACACCGACACGAATTACCTGTCCCCTGCACACTTCCTGATAGGCAGGCCGTTTACAGGTATAGAAGAAGCTAATCTTAATCATGTACCAGAAAATCGCTTAAATTACTGGCAAAGCATACAAGCCATGTACCAGGGGTTTTGGAAACGCTGGCATCGAGAGTATTTGTCTACGCTACAACTGCGTCCAAGGTGGACCACGAAAACCTTAAACGTAAAGGTTGGGTATATTGTTCTTGTTAAGGACTCTCACACCGCACCATCCGCTTGGCCATTGGCTCGAGTAATCGAAACATACCCTGGAGCTGATGGACTTGTTCGAGCCATCAAACTGCAGACTGCGACTGGAGAGATGACACGACCTATAACGAAAATTGCTGTGGTACCACATTCAGAAACGATGTTTCAGGGCGGGCCGGGATGTTGAGGAACGCTATGCAGCACTACCTACTTATATTTAAATGTAACAGCCAAACTTAAAATGTTCACTAACACAGTCGTGCATTCGCCGTACATTCGCCTTTTCGCTTCTCGCGTGAGTATTAGCATGACCGCCGATCCGATCGAACGCACACAGCGCAAGATAAATACAGTCCACTATTAACACAAACTGATAATAAACATAAGTGACAATTTAAAGGCATTGACATTTTCGTATTATTCATTCACAATCAATGGGTTACCTTTTAGTGTTTATTTATTTATTTTATATTTCTTAGTCTTAATACTCTTTGTTTCTCTTTGTTTTAATACTCTTCATTATTTTATTGTTTGTTGGTTTTAAGGACATTATGCGTCGTTTTGGAACCGATAGTCTATTTAGATTTACTTGAACTAGTTGTGAATTCCAGTTTGACGGGTCAACGTTCGCTGCTGATGGTCAGGGTCGGCGAATGGAAGGGGCCACAGTGGCGGGTGTCAGAAGGGGGCAGCAACGTTGAGTGTTATGTTGATGGGTGTTAACTTGGATTTAGAAAAAAAGCGGAGCTCGTAAAAAATACGACCGACTGCGACCGACATACATACACACACAATAGTCGTCGTGCATGTGAGTATGTGCGTATACGTGTGAATTTCAGTATGTATGTACATATGTCCAAGATCGTGCTTAGCAATTCATACAAAACTACCAGAAATTTCTAATTGCGTCACTTTTACGCAATCCAAGTGCCGTTCTCTTTGCTTCGAAGGAGCATGTTGCGTAATCCAATCCAATTATACATACATACATATACAAGTACACATATAAATACATAAATACTTCCATTTGTATATATATATAGATATTCACATGTTCTCGATACACTATTCGATCTATGATGTACTTACATATGTATGTCTTGTTAACTCTTATAAAAAAAGAAACAAGTGGAGAAGCTAAGATCGGGTGTTCCGACGTTGAAATACTCTGTATATATATGTAGAAATATTACTGAAATTAAAAAAAATGTTAAGAGTAACGCAGTTGCAATATAACAAAATATTTTGATTGATTATTCCTCCTTGGATATTTGAACGAAAAAATAAAACAAACTTTCACAGCGTACACACGTAAAGCATCTTTATGCCTAATTTGGTGTCTCTAGCTCTTATAGACACTGAGACCCAGGCGGACAAACGGACCAACAGACAGGCAGCCATAGATCGACCATCCTTCTGTAGGTTACAATTTTCAGTTCCCGCAAATCTGATATACTATTGTACCTTTCATGAACAAAGTATAACAATTCTATAGGTCTACGACCAACGAAATTAAACGCTTCGTAGAGGGAATTATTTAAATAATGATGACCAATAGAAAAATACAGTTCCCGTTCAGATTGTTTTTGAAAGCTTGATCATTGATGAGTGAATCTAAGGGAATCTATGGTATAGGGATGTAAGTCGATGTTTCTTTATAAAAAAATCGATGCATGGTCGATGCATCGCAAAAAAAACATCGATGCATCAATGTTTTAAAAAATTAACTTTCCATAGAAAAAAAAACCTATTATTAGGGAGCTAATCAACATAGTTGTATATGCTTGAAATAAAAAGTGTTTATATATCAAGAGAGACTGTCATAGCATTTTACTTAATGTTGTTAATCAAAATAGTACTCGTAATATTGAATTTTGATGAACTTGTATGGCTTACTTAAAAAATCTGATTATATACAGTTTTTAAAACCACGACGCGTTGCAGCTACACCTCTTAGGCATATTAAGTGTGACATTACATACGAAAAAAAGAAGATCAAATACTTAATAATCTAAAATTTATACAAGTAAAAAAGCTAAAGTCGGGTGTCCCGACTTTGAAATACTCTGTACATATGCTTACAATAATTATAGAAAATAAAAAAATTAAGAAAATAAAAAAAAAAAAATTTGATCGATTTTACCTCTCTCGGTATTCGAACTCACGTAAAGGGTGTATAATTGCACATTTACATAGCAATTGCGTCTGTGTGAGTGTATGTATGCCTATGCGCATCTATTCGTGTCTGTGTAAGCATTTTCGCAGTCAACCAAACAGCAACATCAACAACAGCCGCGGGCAGCGCTTGAGCAGCGCTTGAGCAGCGCTGCATCAGCAAATATATTTATGGCTATAACTTCTTGTTAAATCGGTCTATCATAATGAAATTTGGCATACGGACACATAATAACCAACTGGGGGTATTTCCAAAATTTTAGTTCGAAATTCCAAGAATTACGGGAGTTACGATTTGCGGGGTAGAGGGGGGAGGGAGGGAAATTCCAAAATATACATTTTCTGCGTATTCACATAAGGCATCTGGGACTAAAATTTGGTGTTCCTAGGTCTTATAGTCTCCGAGATATAGGCGATTATACGAATGGAAAATCGGGAAAACCCCCATAGGGGGGAAGTGGGGGGGGGAAAATCAAAAAAATAAAACAAACTCGTATAGAATACACACATAACGCATCTTTGTGCAAAATTTGGTGTCTCTATCTCTTATAGTCTCTGAGATCCAGGTGTTCATACGGACGGACAGACGGACAGACGGACAGACAGACAGACAGACAGGGCTAGATCGACTCGTCTCGTCATGCTGATCAAGAATATATATACTTTGTGGGGTCTGCCACGCCTCCTTCTGCCTGTTACATTTTTCAGCTCCCGCAAACCTAATATACTCTTGTACATTTCATGTACAGAGTATAATTATAAAATACACATTTTAACGAAAACATCAAATAATTTATAATAAAAAATTACCTTCTTCGGTAAACCACACAAAGAAATATGACCGCCAAACAAAACATGAATAATGTTCGATGTTTGGACAAACATCGATGGATCGATAATGCATCGATAGCAAAAAACATCGGAAAACATCGATGCATCGTGGTAAAAACATCGCCGATGCTCGATACATCGATGTTTTCTTACATCCCTAATATGTTATCATGCATGTTTGGAAACCTTTTGTTCTTTTAGTATTATGTAAAAAATTTTAAAGGTGATTTTGACATACAGACTATGTTGAAATATAATTCAGTATCTCCCTAGCAATACTGTATCAATTTTTAAAAAAATGTTCCTTGGTTTCGTTTCTCTTGTTGCAAAAACATTCCTAACTACACGTTGTTATTTTGACGCACATGTTATCATTACCAGTGCGATTGAGATATATGGTCACACTTAAATTGGAGCTAATGGAAGTTCTTATGACATGATAACCAAGTTCAAACGAATACTATATTAATTAGTGAAAAAATTTAAAGTAGGCCGATGTCCATGAGAAAAAACATTTCAATGAAAATAAATCTTTCGAAGCATCGACTGTGCTGTTTTGTCCAAATCAATTTTAAGTTATACGTATTGGTTGCCTACATAATAATAGATATACAAAAAATCGTACCCGCTTTCAAATTGGTAAGTTTATTCGCTCATTTAAATTAAATACAAGCATTTACATTAAATACACCGCACACTAAACAATACGTCACCGACGAGCAACAGTGCTGAAAAAGTAAAAACATTGCAGTGTCATTTTTATTGGAAGAATAATTTTACAACCAAAAGTAATTAACATTTTTATGTTCACTATCCCAGCTAACTCCTGGGTATTATTTTTTTGGATAGAAAATCTGTTCAATTTATTCTCTAAATAAGTAAAGACGCGTGCCCAAAAACATACCTATTAAAAATTGTTCTATGTGCAGAAGAATACAATCATTTTTTATTGTTAGTGAATTAACATTTTTAAATATCATTTCTATTGTGTGCTAAATTATGTACAAATAAATATGTAGATTGTACATATAAGTAAAAGCAACGTGCCAACCATTATTACAATTTACATACATACATACATATGTATGTAAACCAAAGAGTTTAAACAAGAATTACCAGAACACATGCGTTTCAAAGGCGATAGGTCGAGGATGCATGCTTCAATTACGTCAACGAACGCACTTGTAGAATATTCTGACGTGAGCTCTGAAGATTTTTCTGATCCTGAAACGGGAGAAATTCAATCGGATATTACGTTAACTAGAAGTGTTGGTAGCAGGAATATATTTGCATTAAATAGCAATCCAGAGCAGAGGTTGGAAACCAATCTGCGTGCTAACAAGTCCATCCGTCATGGTCATAATCCGACAGAGAAAGCTACTGGTCACGATCAGGATGACTTCAGGTAAACCCATACTTCAAACTATAAGAAAGTGAATTATGAGTTAATTTACGTATTCATTATTATTGATAGACAAAAACGAAAAGTCGAAGACGCGGTTGGATCTAGAAAAGTCGAATTGGCTGCAAGCAGTACTCGAATTAGCATTGAAAAATCGTTTAATATTGGTGATGTGAGTAGCATTATTGCAACTGATGGGATGAATCAAAGGAGTGAAATCATAAAAACAAAGTCTTTGAAGGAAGGCTTACATTGGGATCGTACTCTGTATACGTCTAGCGATTCCATTGATACTGATGAGCTGGAAGCAGAAATGAAACGGCAAAAACGGAAAAAATTAAAAAAGGACAAGCATAAACATAAATCAAAAAAAAAATCAAAGAAACGCAAGAAAAAGAGAGCTAAATCATATTCGACTATTGAATCAATGTCGGATAACGACATAACATCGATTTTAGACCGACGGTATACTCCACCGACCGCACCAAAAACTAACACTGACCGAAATGCTTCTGCGGCGGCTTCACACATGCCTCGTAAAGAAAACAGTCCCATACCGGCAGCAACTTCCCCATCTCGACGTATTAATAGTAATAACACTTGTTACGAAGGCATACCAGCAGGAAATGCTGCACTTGGGGGCAACTTGCAGGTTACAGTATCGAACAATATGAACAATCGACATCTGTCGCCGATTCGTACTGGTGCTGCTTCACGTTTTAACACATCCCCACGTACACCTCCCCAACCATTGTATGTGCCAGGCGGCACAGCTGCAGCTGCACGTGACATACGAACCGCTCGGTATGCACACAGCCCTCTCAAAGATGGTTTAGCTCCCCATCAAAGTTCTACTCATGTATCAGCTTCTCACGGTTATCATCATAGTTATTCAGTACCAGGATCAAGCAACATTGAAAGTAGAAAGCTTAAGCATATATCACCGGGTAGGTATTATATCCCATATAGTACATTTAATCTTAGTATTTGGATTTTTTCTGCGTTTAGATCGATACCACCATCAACCGACTACGCCACCACACAAACGAAGAAAGTTCTTCGATAAAAGAACCCCGCACTCTGTGGCCTATGATCACGAAAGGCACCACAAATCAAAATATGAGCGCTACGTCAGAGATCGGTATCCACGTCGAGCTTCCAGGTACTAATTAAATCATCTGATTATGTTTATAATTTGTCAATATTTTAAAATCTATACAGAAGTCCTAGTTTGCATCACTCCCGCAATCGACAATCACCCCCAAGTAGCCTTCCGTCCTGCAGCACTAATTCAAACGTTTACCGGCACAGTAGTAGCTATAAATATAAATACAATATACCTCATTCCCCATCACCTATTCAACGGAGATCTTCCAAACGATTATCTGGTACATCAATTGAGAGATTTTCACGCTCACCGCGGCCGACTACACGCTATGATTCGTCGCCACCCTCACAAAGTAGTGTCTCGGCCTCACATCACCACCGCCGTACTCCAAAGACTAGTCAACGTACTTGGAGCCGAAAGCGCTCGCGAAGTTCTGCCAGTAGTCACAGCTCAGCTTCGCGTTCAAGATCTCCGACTACCCGCCAGATTAAGCACAAACGGGATGAATATATTAAAAAAATAAGCGAGACTAGTCTTTTTGCTGAGCTTGTAAAAGATCGTCATAAACGACAAAAGGCATTAAAAGAGATTATTGAACGCCAAGAAGAAAATAGCAATAGCAATGGCGCACTGGCTGTTAATGAAAATAGTTCATCGGTTGACTGTAATACACCTCATGTAATAGAAGGACGATCAAACATCATTACCGGTTTCTTGGCAGCAACTTCTTCGATTAAAACTTCAAACGGTGTGTGTAGCAAGTCAGATGTAGATGTCAACAACATTCCTATGCCGAACAAAGAAAACGTGAAAAAAACTGATTTGGGACCAACTGGAGAAATCGAGTGTTTAACTGCGACGCCCGTGAACACCTTAAAAAGCACAGCATCATTATGCAAGATTACCCAAAAGACAAAGAGCTTAACAGCGCTACCTCTGCCACCAGGGATGAATGTTGCAGATCTCGTCAATGCACGCACGCCTTCACCACCTGATACAATTAAAAATTTGCCACCGAAACCAAAAATTTCGGAAGAAAAGAACGTTAGCACAAATACGAACAAGAGCCTCCTCAACCTTCCAATGCCACCAATGATACCAGGTAGCGAAGAGTTAAGTGGTGATGATGACGTTATTGACAGCCCCGAAAACTTCGATGAACTAAGAACCGAAAGCACTAAGATTAGTGCGCAGAGCACTGGGCGCCGGCGTCCAGTGATACTAAATAGACGGGATTCCCGCAACAATGTACGTGATTGGGGTGAGCGATGTGTTGATGTGTTCGAGGTAATCGCACAGATTGGTGAAGGTACCTATGGTCAGGTGAGCAAGTAATTGGACTAATTAAACAAAAATGCATATTCATTTTTTTTACTGTTAGGTATACAAGGCTCGAGATTATCATACAAACGATATGGTGGCTTTAAAAAAAGTTCGTCTTGAACATGAAAAGGAGGGCTTTCCAATTACGGCTGTGCGCGAGATAAAAATACTAAGACAGCTTAATCACCGAAACATAGTAAATTTACACGAGATTGTAACGGACAAGCAGGATGCGGTAGAGTTTCGTAAAGACAAAGGATCTTTCTATCTAGTATTTGAGTACATGGATCATGATTTAATGGGACTTCTCGAATCTGGCATGGTGGATTTTAATGAAGAAAATAATGCAAGCATTATGAAACAGCTTTTAAATGGACTTAACTATTGCCATAAAAAGAATTTTTTGCACCGAGATATCAAATGCTCAAATATTCTTATGAACAATAAGTACGTTTAGTTTTTAAGTTACATGATCTACTTTTCCACATTACAAAATATGTTTTACCTTCACAGAGGCCAAGTAAAATTAGCCGATTTCGGTTTGGCACGTTTATACAACGCCGATGACCGAGAACGACCTTACACCAACAAAGTAATAACTTTGTGGTATCGCCCACCGGAACTGCTTTTAGGGGAGGAACGTTACGGTCCTTCTATAGATGTATGGTCATGTGGTTGCATTTTGGGAGAGTTGTTTGTAAAGCGTCCACTGTTTCAAGCCAATGCAGAAATGGCGCAGTTAGAAATCATATCCAAGATTTGCGGTACGCCAATTCCGGCGGTGTGGCCGAACGTCATAAAACTGCCGTTATTTCATACACTAAAGTTAAAAAAAACTCACCGTCGACGTCTGCGAGAAGATTTTGAATTTATGCCAACAACTGCTCTTGATCTACTTGACAAAATGCTGGAACTAGATCCGGATAAGCGCATCACAGCAGAAGATGCGCTTACATCACCGTGGCTCAAAAATATTAATCCTGATGAGTAAGTAAACATTTCCTTGGTATTAAAAGATGGTAATATAATTTAAAATTTTGTTTGTAACAGAATGCCTACACCTCAGTTACCCACATGGCAGGATTGTCATGAGCTGTGGAGCAAAAAACGTCGCCGCCAACTTCGTGAACAGCAAGAGTTTTTACCGTCGGCTATGATAACATCGACGAAGCACCAGCAACATAGCGCTATAACCGGGGGAGACGCTTAGCATTTATCATAAAATCCATGCATTCATGCTTGGGCATGTAAACAACGTGCCTGGTAAAACACTTATAAGAGTAAGAGTAAGAAACAGTTGTTAATAAGAGATCAGGGCGAAATGGTCTAAGTAATTCATGTAACTTCTTTATTATTATTTAATACTGTTTTATGTTTATAATGCAGTTAGGGGAAGTCCGTTGTATAATAGTGTAATATCAACTAATGTACATATATATATATATATATATATATATATATATATATATATATATATATATATATATATATATATATATATATATATATATTTAAGCTTCAGATATTTTTTTCAATGTTTTCAATTAAAATGCCCTTTTATATATATATATATGTGTTGGCAATACAAACATTTTGGTAAATTTTTGTAAATGAATAAACAAAGTGTGCATGTTGACATTTGCTGTTAATTTTTTGAGATTTGTGAACATACAAAGCGAAACGTAAGCGATGAGAACATAAAAGATGGAAATTTCGATTTTCGGTTGAAAAATAATAAAAAACAAGAGAGAACGCTACAGTCAAGCAAGCCCGACAGTGTAATACCCTGTACCCAGGTAAACTTCCGTCAGTGAGTTATATGCGCCCATAGCAGCAGCAAAAAGAGGAAGAAGAAGAGCGAACTTGTTGCTGCAGTTTGGGGGGGTTGTACTGGCGAGAATTTGTTTTGCTAATAACTTTTCTTAGAATTGACCGAATTGAACAACAGTAGACAATTATATATAAATTATGTCTGCAAAGTTTGGTTTAGGTAGCATTTGAAATGTGGAAGCTATTGACGAAATTCTGTAGCGGGGGGGGGGGGGGGGGGGGGGGGGGGGGGGGGATTTTAAAAAAATAAGTTTTCTGAGATCCTTGCGTTCATCCAGACGGACGGACATGTCTAGATCGATTTCTCTCGTCATGCTGATTCAGAATATATATACTTTATGGGGTCGGAGATGCTTCCTTCTGCATGTTACATACTTTGCACAAACCTAATATACCATTTTTACCCTACGGGTATAGGATATAAAAATAATAAGTTCTATTCCCTGCACTCCCTCAAAACTAAAACAATCTATATATATAAAACAGTTTGTCCTGACTGACTGACTGATTGGTGATCAACGCACAGCCCAAACGGTAAAGGGTAGGAAACTGAAATTTGGACTCAAGTATCCTTTCATAGTCTAGGTAAGAAGGGATTTTGGAAAACTCGAGCTCCAAAGGGGGGAAACAGGCTCCAACGTTTGTATGAAAAATCTACAGTTTTCATCTGATTAACTTCAAACTTAGTTTGTATACTCTCAGAACAATTCCAAGAAAAACTGTATAATTGGTTCTTTGATATTTTTTTTTGGGCCTAAAATATGGGAGTTTTCCTGTAAAAAAATGTTGGGGCACAAAAGCAAACCGCGTCAACAGCCCACAGCCCACACGGTAAAAGCTAGGATACTGAAATTTGGGCTCAAGTATCCTATCATGGTGTAGATGCGCACTAAGAAGGGATTTTGGAAAACGCGAGCTCCAAAGTTTGTTTGAAAAATCCGCATTTTTCAACCGATCGACTTAAAACTTAGTTTCTAAAATCAATTAAAGAATACAAACAAAACTGCATACTCGGTTTTTTTAAATTTTTTGTTGGAGGTTGAATTATTGGTTTTAATATTTATTCACTATTTCAAATGAAAAGTTTGTGTTATAAATTTAGTCCGATCGATTTAAAATTTGGATAATGTAATCTACGTAACTAAATCTACAACTTTGCATTCAAGGATTTTCAAAATATGCATTTTACAAAAGCAGGCAGAACAAACAATACAAAATATCAAACAGTTGGGGACAACTAAGTATACATACACACACACATGCAAGCAGCTGTTCGTGTAGTTGCGTGTAAACGATTGAAATAGCCAAAGCAAAATGTCAGACACTAATGTGTGAATGTCCATACATATGTGCACATCTATGTATGTACATATGTATCTACATATGTATGTATGTACATTCGTCTTGCACTGACAGAGCAAGAGATGTTAATTAATTGAAAATAATATAACATTTTTAAAAGTATTTTTTTCTTTATTTAGTGTATTTGGCATTAGGGTTTTCATTAATAACTTTATGCAGCAACAACAAATATCAAATAGTTTGGGACATCACATACACACACTCACACACACAACAAGCAACAGTTCGTGTCTATGTGTGCGGTTCTCTACGTACGGTTGAAAAAGTAAAGAGAAACATACATATGTATGTATGTATGCCTGTGTATGAATATAGCATGTATGTACATTCGTATTAATGTGTAAATTGGGTAATCGAACACTGTTGTTTGACAGTTACCGTCGCTAGGCAACGACTGCGTAAGCGATAGTAAAGCAGAAACCGAATAACGGAGCTACGCATATTCTGCTTCGCATTGCGGGCAGATGTATGTATGTATATGATTTGTTCTTATTGATCTCAATAAATAATTAGATTTTATTATTTAAATATTCTGCTTATTGCATTAAAACTTCCATATTTTGATGGTATCGGTGGCTTCAACTATCGAAAGTTTTACTCTAGCAAATTGAGGTGAGAATTGTCAGTGCTTTTTGATCGTGGCTCATCGCTGCCGTGTTTCATATTCCGAGATTGTGCGTGACCGTATTGACTCAATATGGCACGAAAAGACTCAAATGTGAATTTAAAATTAGGATATACCCTTATAAATATTCCCCTTTTTTGCACATAGTCTATCTTAAAACGTTGCGTTATCTCTATATATAAAACAGTTTGTCCTGACTAATTGGAGATCAACGCACAGCCCAAACGGTAAAAGATGAAATTTGGACTCAAGTATCCTTTCATAGTATCCATCATAGTGTAGGAGCACACTAAGAAAGGCTTTTGGAAAATTCTAGCTCCAAAGGGGGGAAAACGAGCTTTAAAAAATATTAGTTATAGTGGTCATGTTCGTTTAACGAAATAGTTTGGCAAGAACAAAAATGTAACGGACTACTGAACAATTTTTTGTCAAGAACAGAAAATGTTCATTTAAATACCTTAAATGCCTTCCTACTGGTAACCTTTAAGGTGAAAACATATGGGTAGGTTATGCACACACAAAATAAATACAATTGGAAACATTATATTGAGCCGGGTTAAGACGGGCGATACCTGCTAGTAGTACATATGTATGTGTTGAATAATTATAGAAATTAAATACCCTGTACCTTAAAACTAGATTGTTCCCTTTGGCTTCGTAATTCTCATATTGAGCTGACCAGTCAACGCTGGAGAAGCGGAAGAACGCGACGGCTCTCATCGTGGCCGATGAGTGTTCAAATCCCTTTATAGATTTAATTAAAAATTCGTCGCCGTACCTCAAGATTCTTCGCATTATATGCTATGTATTCCGGTTCATCAATGGAAAGGCAAATACAAACTCGTCACTTGTGCCAACAGCAGCTGAATTAGAGTTTGCATTTTTGGCAGTTGTCTACATAGTACAACACAAAGCTTTTGCAGACGAAATCTCAAAGCTAAGCAAGTGCTCGACACTGCAGCCGTCGTACCAGAAATTAAATCCATTTATTTGTCAATTTCGAACGGGAAACCGTCAATTGAATTTGGTACGAGTTGGCGGTCGCTTGCTTAAGGCACCATTGCCTCATAATGCTAAATTTCCATTGTTTATGGCAAATTCGCGATGTTATACTTGCAGTATTTACATCGCACTATTTGCCACGCTGGTCCACGTGCCTTCTTCGCCAACAATGTGTGCATTGCTTTAGGTATAAATCCTAGCAAGCCAAATAATGGGAAAATTGCCCGCTGACCGATTACATGGCTCTAGGCCATTTGAGGTGAGCGGAGTGTACTTTTGTGTTCCAATACCTGTCACGATGGGAATTCGTGGCTGAGTCCCGGTCAAGATGTATGTTACGGTTTTTGTATGTTTTGCCTCCAAAGTTGTGCATATTGATGTTGTAACAGACCTGACTGCTAACTCGTTTATAATGTAATAAAGGTTTGTCGGCCGCCGTGGACCTGTGAATCAAATATATTCGGACAGTGCCACCAATTTCGTGGGTGCTGCACGCATTTTGGAGGAGCTCAGCCAAAGCTTCAGCATCAACAACGATGCTATTGCCACGTTTGCTGCTACAAAGGGAATAACCTTCAATTTTATCCCAACCCGCATTTCGGCGGCCTATGTCAGTCTACAGTCTATTCCTTTCTGTGTGAGCATGTTTGCAAAACAATGTTGGACCAAAGCAGCAGCATCTTCGTTGTTTCTCTTATAGTCTCTGCTATCTAGGTGATCATACGGACGGACAAACAGCCAGACAGGGCTAGATCGACTCGTCTTGTCATGCTGATCAAGAATATGTATTTTGTGAGGTCTGCCACGCCACCTTCTGCCTGTTACATTTTCAGCTCACGGAAACCAAATATATTCTTGTACATTTCATGTACACTATAACCAAACTAACTCCGCCAATCCATACCATCATTCCAGTCTCATCTACAGTAGCATCTAAACATTAATTATAAGTCGAGACCAAGTCCACTGGCACCATTTTTTTCAAGACCCAATCCTGTCCCGGAAAATTTTGTGCTACTAGCCTCGGAGTCAGTCAGAACATAAAAGGTGCCTTCCAAAATAAACAGGACTTGTTGAATCTAGGGAAAATTAATTTCAAAATAATGAAAATTTGAAATTTTGAAAAAGTAAGAAGATTTGTGATCGTGGAACGAATATAAAGTTGGTCCCGTGCGACATCGAGAGTGTAAAATTTAATTTAATTTGAAATTATGTTTTCTTACATAAATGATAAAGTTTTATATACTCGTATTTACAGGAATATATTGAGTGTTTTTTGTTGAAGGCGGACGTGTTATTGAGCTCCTGTTTACAAATTTGTGTACGCGAGGTTCCATCAAATTTATACAAATTGTCAGCTGTAGCTGCCCTGGCGACGGTACGTACTGCAACTGGAGCGTGAAGAAATTACCTGCAGCAGACGTTCTTGGCGGTAAATTTATTTTGTAAATCCTGGGTGCCGTGTTTTGTCTTTCATTCATAATAGCGAGCAAAAGTGGAGAAAGCCGCGAAAATCGGAAAAAT